GCAGGGCCCCAATGGGCTTCGTCTCCAACCACCCCACCGGCCCTGCAGCGCAGACCCCCCAACACCCAAGCGCACACCTGTCATGGTTGGCAGATGCATCGCTCACGGGGCAGCCGGCGGTCACAGCAGACCAATGCCGCCATGAAGCTTGCCAGCCCTCGTCTGAGATGTCAAGGCTCAGGCACGAGCTCTCAAAGGCGAGGGCGGAGGCGGCGGCCAGCAGGGCTCTGGCAGAGGACGCCTGCCTGCAATTGCACGTGTCAGAGGCGCGGGCCGAGGCGCGCATGGAGGCGCTGGACGCAAGGCTGGCTGATTCACGGTTGAGGGCGTGGGAGGCTGCGTCAACAGTCGTCCTGTAGCTCAAGATCGCGGCGTGGCAGCGGTGAATGCAGAGCAACTTGCGTTTGTTATTAACAATCTCTGCTGGATTCAACCAATGCCAGCACCCATTATTTGGTTTTGATGGACTGTTGCAAAGCTTGGAAATAGAGCCGCCGTCTCCATCCAACAAGCAGCACACGCCCATACTTGACTGAGTGAGTGCGTCACTTTACCACTCGCCCTGCGTGATCGCTTATTCATCACTCCTGGCGACTGGGCGCCACACGCACCGGCTGTGAAAGCCCATGCACTGGTCATGTTATCGCGCGCCGCCAGCCGTCGGTCCTCCTCACAAGCCTGTGCGCAGCCAGCTTGTCTGTACCTGTGGGGCAAAATTGTGACGCTGCAGCACTGCTGTGACATGACTGGTTCTCAGCAGATGGAGGGCGTGCGTCCGCAGCAGTTGAAAGCACTGATGTCAGGCCTGCCACATGCGAGCCTGAAGTTGCGTGTGCAGCTGATTATGCACATGTCTATGAAACCCAGGATGTGAGGCTTCCGAGGATGTGAACAAAGTCATGTGGGGCTTCCCAATTAAGAAAGTTGGTGCAGCTGGTGAAGCATATTTCTTGTGAATCCTTCTTCCGACGGTATTCAGGCATGTGAAGCTTCTCACTGACAAAGTTGGCGGGCATGCGGTGTTGTCCGAGCAGTGGGAGTTGGGCAACGACCTGCCCGCTGGAGGTTTCTGGTAGCTGGAGCGGCGTGGCGGTGCTTGTTGAATCAAATCTCTTCAATACCGACACTGGTGTAATTGGTTCCACAATATCTACAAGAAATTTGGTGTGGGGCTGCAGCGCGTGCCAGATGTGCAAATGTGCGACATACTGGTGTGCAGTACAGACGCGTCAGCTTCATTATACGCGATATGGAGTCACGGTTTTATCGAGAATTTCATCAATTTCATTCAAAGTGCTGTGTACTGGGAGTGGGTGTGGTCATTCGCGCGCAAATTACTGCATGTGATCTTGCTTGAGGCCAATGCCTTGCGATGATGTTCCTATTATATCACCATACAACAAAGTTCACTTGGTGTGTCTGGGGATTCTGGTATCATTATTATATATACAGATCCACGTGGACGTCATGGACGATCTTGATCTCGGTCCTCACTTTGAGCCTCGACCCCAGTCGTTGATTACAAGACCTGCAAACGAATCTGCATTACATGGCTCGCAGCTGCTGCCAGTGTCACTCATTGCGCCTCCATCGCTCGCGCCATTGGCACAGCCCGAGCCCCAGGCAGCGGTTCCTGTCCCTACACCGGCGCCACTGCACCAGCAGCAGCTGTCGGCGATCTGCCGCCTAATGGCGTTTCACAAGGACCAGGACCTGGCGTGGACACCCGAATGCATGGACGCCTACATGCGCACGGCGCTGCACCAGGGTGCGCGCTTAGGTGCGTGCCGAGCTCATGCTGTGCACGCTTTGCCGACCGAGGCACATGTCCTGTACGGCAGCCCAGCAGCAATGCTGACGCAGCTGCTCGCGCATCAGGGCAAATTTTTGCTGCGCCCCGTGCTCCAGCGCAAATCACGCCACCCTGACGCATGCGCAGGCGTAACAGGCCTGAGCCAGGATGACTCAACTCAGCAGCAGGATCAGCCGCAGCAGCAGCAGCAGCAGCAGCAGCAGCAGCAGCAGCAGCAGCAGCAGCAGCAGCAGCAGCAGCAGCAGCAGCAGCAGCAGCAGCAGCAGCAGCAGCAGCCCTCCATATCCCACATCGTGGCGTTGGGCTCCCAGGTATATACCAAGGGCGCCGGCCCCAAGGCGGCCAGCTGGGTGCTGCAGGTCGGGATCGTCGTCGGCCCACCCCCCAGCCCCGTCGGCGCCGGCCCCGGCGCAGGCGGCGCCGCGGGGCCCGCTGCGCCTGCGGCTGCACCGGGGGCGGCGGCGCGGGTGCTGGCCATGGGGGACGCAGCACAGGAGGCCGTGGGGTCAGGGCTCAGGGCGGCGCTGTCCAAAGGTGGGCTGCGGCGACGACCGGATGCGTTCGACCGTCCGCTGCAGCGCTTGGAAATTCGGGCACTGCCCAGGGGCTTTCGATTCGCACGGCGGCATGCGTCGTCGTGCAGGTTGACGCGGTCCGGCCGCGCCTGTTGCGTGTGTGGCACATGCATGCGGCACGCCGCAGCTCAACATCCACAGCCGCATGCATGCGGCCTACGATCCTCGCCAGGATCACTCCATGACATACTCCACCCTCCCATGCAGGCAAGTGGGCCAGCTACGGCCTGAGGCTGGCCGAGCTGCTGCCAGGAGACGAGGAAGACCTCGCAGGTGCGCGCACGCGCTGCCGCCGCCACGCCTGTTGCTCATTTCCTGGGTGCAGGGACCGGGCGGTGCGGGGATGTCGTGGTGCTTGTCGGTGAAAGCTGCGCAATTGCCAAGGGTGAAAGTGCGAGAAGTGTCGCACCTTTGCCGGCCATGCGGCAGCCAGCAGTGCCGCATGCTGTCTGGGGTCAGGGTGGGACTACCCAACACGCCGCAGCTGGGCGCCGCCTTGCCTGCGTTTGCGCTCGCTGCTGCTGCAGCCCTGAATCGCCGCCCCCCCAGCTCGGCCCTCGCACCCACCCGGCACTCGGCCACCACCTCGACCGCCGCCCTCCCTCGTTCACCAGGCAGCGCGCGTCTCGAGGCGCTGCCAGGAGTGCCCCCTGTCCCCGTGGCGCTGCTAGTCTGCAGCCGTACGCTGTTTTACAGGCCACGTGAGCGCCGGCCTTGTGAATGATGAAGGCGGGGATTCTGGCAGCCCAGTGGCACAGCAGGGCGCGCCCTGGCGCGGCCGCAGGCTGCTGGGGGTGTGCTGTGCTGTGTCAACAAGCGGCGGGGGGTCAGTTCCTTGTGTGGAGTCATGCAGCTCGGCATCAGGCGGGCGCCACCTTGTCGGGGCGGGAAGGGGGGG